TAATAATAATAATAATAATAATAATAATAATAATAATAATAATAATATAAGAAAATATTTGTAGCTCAGAGCTGAAATGAGGGGGGCCTTGGTGTTCTCTGAGCTTGGCTGTTTTCTTGCAGATGTTTCATTAATTGGTAGCATTATCAGCACTGTTTTCTAAAATCAGAGAATGCAGGGAAACCAAATGGTGGGACAATCAGATCTAGGCTACAAATATACAGGCAACCATGAATATTCTATATCTCTTTACTGCAATCTCATTGAGGCTAGATTTTTGTAGTCCAGATCTTGATACAGCACACGTTCCAAAATAGTCAAGGAGAAAAGAAAGTGTTGGTGGTAAGAATAATATTCTGGATTTGACAATTTACTACTTATAAGGCTGACCAAGTATAATTGACACGTTACCTATATGATTCTTTATACATGTAGTTACTTTCTACAAAGGCTGAAGAATTCTTCTGAGATTTTGGATAGCACTAACCACTGATGGACTTTTCAACACAATATAAAGACATTCTTGCACTACAATTATATATTCACTTTCCAAAAGCTACTTCAAATGTAGAATATGAAAGAATATAAATATTTTAAATAATTCAAATAACTAAAGTTGCATCACACGTTTTCCAAAATGCCTAACTTATGTAACATACCGGCATATTAACTGGTTAATTTTTGCTATGGAGTCTCATAGTGAAATAATATACCTAGTTTTCATCTTTTGGAATTCAAAGTTTTATTTGTTTCAAATATAGAAAACACGTAAGCAAAACATAACAGTGTTATAATATAGATATGAAAGACTTGGGAGTTTATGGAAACATCTGGACATCAACTTGTGCTTGTTAAACTCGCTGACACAAGCTAGAGTCTGCCTTAAAGATTACCAGATAATCCTATATTATTTGGGCAATCTCTGGTTTTCAGTTTATATTTGTCATGCACCTACGTACACTGGAAAAATGGGAAAACAAATAAAACCACAGATCATTGTTTTTACATCATACTATGCCATAATGCATCCAGAAATCCAAATAATAATCTGAAAATATGAAAATCTGTCTTAAAATTAAAAAAAAAAAAAGCTTTTTCATTGACACTACTGCATAATGCATTAAACAAAAATGTATACAGAGCACATTGTGAGTTATATAATCCTAGCCTGTACAAAACAGGATTTCTGTAAAACATAATATAAAAGATATAAAATAGTACCTGCCCGTGCTAACATCCCATACTGCAACTGTATGATCAAAAGAACCTGTGATTATTTTGTCTCCTGTGGTGTTAAACGATAACGCAATTATCTCTGCAGAATGTCCCTATATTTTTATAAAAAAGAAATTTTCATAGAATTATTTATAAGTATATATATATATATATATAGAGAGAGAGAGAGAGAGAGAGAGTAGTACAAGCATTTTTTCAGACATGAAATGAGGTAAAAGTAAATCAATGTAAAGGAAATTGGTAGTACTGAAACCTGAGTGAAAACATAAGTCACTGGCTTGTTATGACATACTAGAATTCTAGTTCATAAAGCCTAACTGAAGTGTATGCATGGGACAAACGATACAAAAAGCATGGGAAACAGGCAAAATAGGAAGTGGAAGTGGGCTGGGAAAATTTGGTTTAAGATAGGTTATGGACCTCATTTGGTGAATCAGATTATCTCTAATTAACATGAATAATTCTAAAAAGGAATAGGCAATTGCTACCAAATACAAGCAGATGGAAGATATGTAGTGGGCCATTAGAACAAAAGTGGTAGAAATGACTTACAAAATGACTTGGACCCCTTGCCTGCTTTCCCATTGACTTTGCTCAAAAAGCTGGCAGGGAAGGTTGCAAATGCCAATCATGTGACCACAGTTCTTTGAGATATTATAATCACAAGCTGGGTGCCTGAGTGCCCAGATTTTAATCACATATCTGCAGGGTGCTACAATGGCCAAAACTTCATGGACCAATTTTTCAGTGCTGCTTTAACTTTCTTTCAATAAGTTTTATTTCATTGAAAACATAAGAAAGCATACTATGACTGCTAGAACTATAAGTAATTGCAACCCACTGTTAATCTGACTACTTCTTCTCCATTCTGTATGTCCCATAGTCTAGCCGTAGTATCCATGCTTCCTGTTGCAACTAGTGTGCTTTGAAGATTAAATGACAAGCAAACCTGTAAGATAAAAGAGAGAAAGCAGATCTTTTTAGAAATCCTTAGCTTTCCTAACTTCCTTGCTGTCAGGCAGGTGATAGCACAACAGAATGCAATTCCTGCTGATCCATGCCTTATTGGTTGCACAGGATTGTAAATAGTAACAAGAATATGGATCTGAGCCTAAAAATTCTTAGCTATCCAGTTTTGGAAGGCTTGAGTCTGAGCTTGTTCCTCTCCAACCAGATCTGCCCAGCCTCTAGAGGGTATAGCTTCCTGCTCCTGCCAACACAAACTAGAACTGGCCAGGAGAAAGGAGAACCATTATAACACAGTGACTCCAACTCTCAAATCCTGCAGTCAGTCCAAAACAATAGCATGCTCAACAGTACCAAAACCCACTGAAAGGTGAATGAGCACAAGGATGGATACATCACCCCATCTCAGGTCGACCAAAGGTCACAAGTAATGCAGTCTCCATACTGAAACTCAGCATGAAACCTAACTAAAATGGATGCAGGTAATCACTTCATTAAGTATTCTCAGGAACTGCAGTCCAATCACCTTTTATCATTACTAGAAACCTATAATGCCTATAATGATTGAAAAGTACTGTGTTAAAGACGAAGGAATTATTTCTCTTCTCAAAGAAGCTGATATCAGAGAATGGATGCTTCACTTCCTGGACAGTTAAAATAATCCAGGAAGAGGCCAGATCTAATAAAGAAGTGACCGAACTTCGAAGTGTCCTGGAAACCTTATCAGGAGTCACTTATGCTAGATAGAGTCTATACAAATGTATATTCTCTATCTACTTTGTTCTTTTCAAATTTCTGGGAGGAAATTAAATCATGAAATACCCTGCAAACTGTAGTTCTGTTGTTTACAATGAGTAGCTGAATTCTAAAATCTAGAATTCTAAAAAGAAAATAACTGCTAAATGAGTTTTTCTTAACAAATGAAGGCACATAAAGAACATATATACAGTATTTACAACCCAGAAGAATATATCTAATGAAGTAGACTGTGATCCATGAAAGCTTACATGACAATCAATTCCACAAGATGCTTAATTATTTTTATTACTTCCCTGGAATTAGGAAAAGTTTTACTGGTTGGCATAAGATTGCAACTAATCCAAAAATACAAATATATTCTTAATTTATCCCTAGCTAACAAATGTATAAAATCTATTTCAGAGTATTTATGAGAAAACAACATACATTAATATTAATTACTGATCTAATTTTGGTGAGATGTAGTGAATATAATCACTTCTCATGTTATGACCGTTGTGACCATTCACAAATATAAGTGGTGACAAAAGATTCATTTTCTGACCAATGCTTGGAACCAAATTCCAAGTGCCTATCAACAAAAGTCTTCCCTGATAAAGTTCTGGTCAGTTTCAGGAAGTAGCAGTAACCAATGCAGGTTTCTAATCAAGTAATTAAAGTCTTGAGCTTGTTAATTTATGGCACTTAGGGATATGCTGTTCTGCAGAGAGAAGCAGCTCAAGAGGAAATAGCTTGTTTAAGCAATCTCTCCACTCTGCAAAGGATCAAAAATGGGAGGAGATGGGAATTCATCTGAATGACATGGCAGTAACCAATGATCTTTGCAATCTCTCTTTCCCTCTTTCTCTCTCTCTGTCATATGTTAACTGAACAATGATTTTGCTTAAAAACAAAATTGCTGGAATGGATTGAAGTCACTAAATGACAAGCGGGTGTATACAACAATGATTGAAGAGGTTTGTAAGAATTGAAATTGCTTCCTGTTAGAAAAGGAAATGTTCAAGTCTAAAATGTGTTGCATTCTAACTTACAACTTTCTGAGCTTGAAGCAAGTCATGTCACATTCGGAACACATGCAATGGGATTGGAACAACTCATTTTAAAGTCAAGCTGTTTTACTCATTTCTGTTCTCTATATACAGTTGTTAAGTGCAACCAAAACTCTTGTACTTACAATTTCTGCAGTATGTCCTCTAAAAGTATAATAGCATTTTCCTGTGTCTACACTCCATAATTTGCAGGTCTTATCAAATGATCCAGTAGCAATCTTGTCACTAAATAAATAGAAAAATGTTATTGTTTTAATTATTAACTCCAAATATTTGTTGATTTAACTTATATAGTGCCAAATCCTGTAAGACCCCAAGCAACTAACAGCATTGCATCAAACAGAAGAGGAAACCAAAATAAAATTCAATGCAGATAATTAAAACTGGGATATAAAAACAAGCCTTTCAACATAAGTTTGCAACATAACTTAGATTTGAAGACATATATGACATGTATATTTAGGATTTTGAAAAGTTACATACCCATAAGGATTATTGAAAGCAATTGCATACACCACATTTCTGTGGCCTTCCAGAGAACGTAACTCTTCTCCTGTTGCCGTATCCCACAGTTTGCATGTTCGGTCATAACTTCCAGTGATAAAGCTACAACAAACAAGTCTATTTTATGTTTTCAGACCCAATTGTTCTCATCCACAAATTAACCCACTTCTGACTGAATTCAATGGCTATTAATCATTCTCATATTTTTTCTTTAAGTAATGGCAAAGATCATAACAAATCTAAACATTTATAACTCCAGGTTTGTTGAGAAGATTGCATGGCCTCTATTGATGTTGTAACAATAAGTCTGAGCCCAGTAAGTCTAAGTATGGATATTTCAAAACTCCTTTCCCAGAAGCCCTCTGAGTTTACATACTCTGGCTTATCTTCTTGCCTTAGTATACAAAATTTGCTGTTACTGTTACCTATCTTCAAGAGACATGTTGTTAACTGGCATATGAAGTACATAGACATCTCAAAGCCTAGACACGCAACTGACAAATACAGAGAAGGAGAAAATAATGAAAAAAATAAACACAATATATAGCTCTATCTCCTAGGACAGTGGTTGCCAACCGGTGGGCCATGGCTCACCGGTGGGCTGTGAGAAAATTTTGGTGGGCCGCAGAGAAATCTCACCCACAGAGCACCCCCACAGAGCAATTAATTCAGGCTGCACAGAAACACAAGGCTGCGCTGCCCACATGGCCCGTGAGAACCCTCCCCACCCACTCACTCCTTACCCAGTAAACTTGCCTGCTAAACTGCTATTTTTCCTTTTTCCGACCATTATCTGTTTTGCTGTGCCGGGAGATTTAGATTAGCTAGGAAGCAGGAAATGGTTGGATTTCTTGCATTCTAGCTAGTCTTTTGATCTTCGGCTCTGCTTTTAAGTACAGCCGAACCTCCCTTAGGACTGAAGGTTTGCTTGCAAGCAAATTAAGTGCAGACTCACAGTGCAAGCAAATTTGAGAGACTGAGCTAGCCGATGGCAGATAGATAGATCACTGAATGATTCTGTGAGCAACTAAATCTGTCTGCTTTGCCTGATTTTTGGAAAAAGTTGTTCTTTTTTAATAAAAAAATCAATATTTACATACATGGTGTGTTGTGAGTTAATTTTGTGAGTTTGCTTGCAACCAAATTTTATGTGACAGACTGAGCTAGCTGATGGCAGATAGATAGATCTCTGAATGAATCTGTGATTCTGTGAGCAACTCAATCTGCCTGCCTGCTTTGCCTAATTTTGGGTAAAAGTTGTTCTTTTTTTATAAAAAAATCAATATTTATATAAATATTTATAATATTTACATACAAGCCATGCCCAGCCAGTCACATGACCACCAAGCCACACCCACAAATTAGGCCACAGCCACAGAACCAGTTAGTGGTCCCTGTTTTAGTTAGTTTACTTTTATTGTCATTGTACCTCGTACAATGAAATCAAACACCATCTTCAGTGCACATCATGACCATGACCATGAAAATAAACACACACATCCTTCACCCTTCACACATTGAACCGGAAACCCCTGACACCGCACCAACAACACAACACTAGAATTCAAAAAAAAAACTACTGCCCTGGGATAGAAGCTGTTTTTCAGCCTATTTGTCCTTGTTTTATTATTCTGTACCATCTGCCAGATGTTAATAGTTCAAAAAAAGGGTTCCCAGGATGAGATGGATCTTTGAGAATGTTTTGAAGTGTCTTAAGGCAGTGGGAGCTATAGAGCTCTTCCAAAGAGGGGAGAGGGCAACTAATGATTTTCTGGGCAATGACATTAACCCTCTAGAGTGCTTTCCTATCTGCCACTGTGCAATTGGCAAACCATACAGAGGTGCAGTATGTTAAAGTGCTTTCTATGGTGCAAAGGTAGAAGCTCACCAGCAGTTTCTCATTCAGTTGTTGTTTTCTGAGAAGCCTCAGGTAGTATAATCTCTGCTGGGCCCTTTTGACTGAAATGTGGGCACCCCAGGTCAGGTCCTCTTTTAGGGTAACACCCAGAAACTTAAAACTGGCCACTTGCTCCACTCGGTCTCCATTGATAAGCAAGGGCTGGATGTCTGGTCTGTTCCTTCTATCATCCACTATAAGCTCCTTAGTCTTATTGGTGTTGAGGACCAAGTTGTTGTCTCCACACCACGAAAGCAACTGGTCCACCTCATCTTGGTAGGCAGACTCATCCCCCCCGGACATAAGTCCCACCGCTGTTGTATAATCTGAAAATTTAGCAATAGTATTACTAACCTGAGTGGGAATGCAGTAATGCACATAAAGAGTATAGAGTAAGGTACTCAACACACAACCCTGTGGTGTACCAGTGTTAAGAATAAGGACTGAAGAGGTATGATTACCTAATCTGACCCTCTGTGAGTGGCCAGACAGGAAATCCATAATCCAAAGGCAGATTGAATTAGAAAGCCCAGGGTCCAGAAGTTTAGACACTAGTCTATGTGGAAGAATTGTGTTAAACGCAGAACTAAAATCAACAAAAACCATCCTCACATAGCTCCCCCACTGTTCTAGATGAGTCAGAGCAGTGTGAAGAGTGATAGCTATAGTGTCCTCTGTAGTCTATTTTTTCTGTATGCAAACTGGTGTTTATCAAATGTATGCGGAAGATCAGAAATGATGTGCCGGCAGACCAATTTCTCAAAGCACTTAATGATGATAGGAGTGAGTGCCACTGGTCTGTAATCGTTGAGGTTATTGATAGGGAACTTCTTTGGCAGCGGAACAATGGTGGAAGCCTTCAAACAAGATGGAATAATGGACTGGGATCTAAAATTGAAATGGAATCTAAAATTATGAGTTTGGTGGCCCCTGAGGTCCAAAAGGTTGGTGACCCCTGTCCTAGGATGATAGCAAGAGATGTGTGACTAGGAAGATCAGTCCTTTTACTCTAGAGAAAGATCACTCTTAGGTCAGGGGTGGGCAAACTATGGCCTGCGAGCCACATCCAGCCCGTTGGTCTTTTTAATCCGGCCCGCCGAAGATTGGTACAGAATTAAGGTTTGATGTGAATGATTGAATGATTGCATTCATTCGATTTTGACTTGTAATGACAGGCATTTCGACACCAGGTGGAGCATTAGGCGCAGTGACTTGATTTTGCGGAGATTTTGCAGTTTTTTATATGTATCGTATCTTGTGCTGACCCGGCCCGTCTGTCAAATTTTAAAAGTCAATGAGGCCCCCGAGCCAAAAAGTTTGCCCACCCCTGTCTTAGGTGTTAAATAAAATTTATTTATTAAAAATGGAAAAAGGATAATGTAAAACTTCTTTTTGCTTCCTTTTAGGAATCACATATAAAACAATCAGTACTGAAGAACAACATACAATGCTTCTAAAAATCACTCATAGCATCACAAATTTTTCACATAAGACTTGAGAAGGAAAATTAGGATTATAGACAGATACAACACAATCCTAAATTTAGAGAAATTTTGTTCTGTCAAGTTCTAAGACACATTAACAGCACTCAATTTACTGAGCATGTACATCTATTTCCTCCTTTTTTTCTGGGAGTTTTGACTTGGATTTTTTTGTCAAAACCATCACGTTTTTCTTCAGAATAGGGAGAGGCTAGGAAGCATGTCCTACTGTGACACACTCGCAACTTACTAGTTATGAAATATTACTAGTAAGCAATTGAAAAATGTCAAGGGCTTTTGTGTATCTTTGTATTTTTGAATTGTTGAATAATGATACAATCTTATATATGTCTAGTAGGACGTCCTAAAGAAATAATTATTTTCAGCTCAATAGCTTTGCAATCTAAAACCTGGATTTGGGTGGCAATTTGCTATTACATAAATATTAATAAAACATTCACCACAGCATAAGTGAATTGCAAAAAGAATAAATTCAGCATTGGGACATGCTTTTCAAATATTAACATTAATGGTTTTAAATATCATCTCAGTGAATGACATTTTTAAAATGGTACATTTGTGTTACATTATTAATTAGCAGCATTTCAAGGAATGGATAGGAAAAACAGAATACTGGCTAAGAAAAAGAAAAAAAGTTGTATCCTATGTTTATTCAATGTCATTTTGCTATCTATTTTGTCTAAAACATCTTAACTGAGGGGTTTTGCTATTGCTGTAGTTTTGGTCTTTCATACCCTACTGACTTCAATCAACTTTCTTTAGTTAAAACAATAGCATGGGAAAACATGGATTGTTAAATGTACCAAATCCAATTTAAATTTAGGCATACTATTCCATTTAGATTACTTACTTTTAATTTAACTACATATCCAAACTTACCAAGAACCAGATTTGTTAAAGGCAACGTTGGTAAGTGGCAATATATGTGCTCGAAGTACCTGAAATTACAAAAAACAGCAGTGACATTTCTTTATATTTATGTACATTTCGCCTTCATAAATCCAGTTCCATAAATATATATTTTGAATTATGTAACTTGTTTCAAACAAAATTAAATGTTTTACTGATTTAAGTGCTTATTGATTTCAATGGCAGTCATTTAAGTATATACTTCACTTGAATTAAATGAGGACTTGGCTAGGTTATGCTTAATTAAGTTAAATCACTATGCCATAACAGCATGCTCTAACAACACTCAAATGTCAATCAAGTTATGCTACAGCAGCTTGCTACTAAGCTCAGCATGCGTACACACACACACACATACACACACACACACAATCACCCAGGAAACAGCTAAGACACTGCCATTTCATACCCATCTCGTGTCTCCATTAAGAGGTGTTACTGACAGTTACAAGGTGATATGAAGTGAAAATAGAAAACTAGTCTTATTTACACTTCTCTGTTCTTGACAAATTAGTGTCCAATGAATATATTTGCACGTCATTCCTTACTGAACTGTGGGGAGGGATAGCCCCTATTTTTATCAATATGGAGGACATCTTTTGGAGCAGAACTTTTATTTTATTTCATTTAACTACATTCTGTATCTTGCTTTCATGGGACAAAATGCATATAAGTGACCTAGGGGTTGGGGTTTTTTAAAAAATAAATAAAAGTTAAATTTGGATAATTGTTTTTCTGCTGCCAGATCGACTGTTGAAAGATCATGTCACTTATAATAATGTTATCTTCACTGCCTGGTTTTGAATTATCTTATCAAAAGAAAAGGCCCTGAAAGAATAAAGGCAATGTTCAAAGCTCTCTGAAAAAAATGTTTAAAAATTGTTCAAAAGTTAAATTAAGTTAAAAGAATGAAAAGTTAGGATATGATTAACAGAACATGAAAGAGTCAAGCATTGTTACCCCTCATTGAACAAACAAAATCTAAGGAAAGTTTTTGAAAAACTTTGTATCCAATGTGGAAAGCTAGCATCACCCCTCTCCTAGAAGAATGAAATATTTTAGGAAATATTTAAAAAGCAGAATATTGTACCTCCCTAGATGAGAAAAGGAGAAACATACTCTTGGAAAGCAGCCCCCACCTTTGTTAATAATCCCAGAAAGACTGGGCCATCTTATCTACATGACAAAAGGCTGGGCCAGCTTATCCACAAAACAAAAGACATTCAGGACATAATAGGATTAGCTCTCTCACTCAAGACCAGGACAAAGCCATTAAGACATAATAGGAATTGCCCAACACCCTTTCAGAACACAACCTTCTTCATTACATCATCACCCAGCAAGATTCAACCAAGCCTGGGACTCAAGACAACCTACAAAGTTAAACCCTGCCTGGCCCCACGGGAGTCTGACAACCAATCAGAATATATACCCTTGCCACAATTACCGGAAGCAAAATTCAAAGCCCAAGAGAGGGTATAAATCTCTCCCTCTCTCACCCATGTGCTCAATTGCCCAGGACCTCAAACTATGTGGTCCTGTCCACCATTAAACCATCTTTCCAAATAGTGTCCGTGTTTCCAGTGTCTTTCTCCCCACTTGGGACTGAACCCTGATGGACATTACTTCCAACACCAACTTATTCCACCTGATTTTTTTTAACCAATGAGAGAACCATGGTTCCTCAAACAGCTATTAATGCTTTTCTACAAACATCAATTTAGCCAAGTATATATTTCATACTAGGGTATATATCTGTGAGAGAATCAGCAAGGGAAAAAAACCTTTTTAAGTCATAGCAGCCTAGTATTGTTAATGTTACATTGTAAAATAAGACTTAAAATTATATTTTTGCATCCCATTTAAGAACAGGCATGACCATCAACTAGGATTCTAGACAGAACAAAATCTTCCTGAATGAAAAATAGGCCTGCTTTATACTCATATTTAAAATATGAAAATATTCATATTTTTGGCAATTAAATGTAGAACACACCTAAGCCCTACCCTTAATTGATGATCTGCAGATTTTTTTTGTATTGCACTGGCGATAATGATAAAGGTTTCCCCCCCTGAAATTTACAATTTAGATGAATAATCCAATAATCGATTTTTCTATTCAACTGCCTGAAATATCTTATTCTAGTACAAATAGTATACAGGAATTGTTTTTATGCATCTTTCCTTTGCATATACTCTGTAATCATAACTTAGCACAAATATACTTTTATATACTGTAGTAATTTTTAACTCAGTATTCTTAAAGTACATTTGTTTTACCTACATTTCTTGCTGACAACAGATGCCAACAATTTGCATTGATTAGTGCCATATATATCATGGCAGAGTCCAGTCGCAGCATTTTACGGTAATTCATAGCATTTTAAGATAAAAGAAATCTAAGGACATTTATATAAGAAATATCATATATACATATACATATATATACACATACACACACACACACACACACACACACACATATATGAAATATCTCTAGTACACATTCGATTCCAGTTGTTAATGCTTTATGGATCATAATACATCACTCACCCATTTAACCACTTAGTTTAACATAGCAAAGATATGAACAGCAGGCACTACAACTTTTTTTCAATTACATTGTCTCCCACTTCAAATCTTCCTTTGGGTTGAGGTGTCTTGAAAGCACATGCCCTTCAGAGACTACTGTGGCTGGAATCCACTATCAGTCCATTTAGAATAGCTCAACACTGCCATCTAGCTTTGTCAATGAGATATTGCAATTTCAGAAACGGACAGAAATAGACCATTTATAAAATAGAAATGCCCTTAAATCTTTGATATATTTATTATTATTATTCCACCCTTTGAAAATATTTGGTCAACAAAAGGTAGAGAACATGTTTAATATTCCTGCTTGCTATTTTCCCCCACAACAATAACCTTGTGAGGTATGTTTGGGATGAGAGACTGACCCAATGTCACCTAATTGGCTTTCATTCCTAAGGGAGCCTAGGAACTCAGTCTCCTAGTTTTTAGGTTGGCATCTTAACTGCTACATCACACTGGCACTCTATATAGTTTGCTTAGTTTTCAGTTTTACAAGAAAACAGAAATAATTCATCATTGTCTTTTTTCATGATTTTCCATAAAATTTAATCATGGGATTTTATAATCTTGGGATTTTAAGGTGATTTCCTATTGAAATATTAAGCAGGACTGTTTTTAAAAAATTGCCTAGATGTTGTCATCTTACCCAATAACTTAGCCTTCTAAATTATTTCATTGTTTAATAAATCTACTCATGTTAATTGCCTTGAATAGCCAAGGGTCTAGGGCGGGGGTTTCAAACTGGTGGCCCATGGGCTGGATGCGTCACACACAGGCCATGCCCACCCCAACTCCATGAATAGGAAAAATGTCATGAAACATCACGTAACAGCAATGATATGATGCGGTGAGTTTAACACCCTTGGTTTAGGTCTTTAACTTCTAAAAAAGCCCAATGTATTGTAATCATCTTTCTTCACCTTAATGCAGGAATACATTTTTTCCAGTCATACAGTGTTTGACTGACATAACAGAGACACATTTCAGTGTGCAATAAGTGAGACCGGGACAATAGCTAATTTTCTTTCCCTTTTTGTTTACATATAATGAAAATGAAAAACAACTGACAAATTTATTCTGAAATTATTTGTTTTCTTTTATCACATTAAAAAAATTCATAGTAACATAAGGCATGGTGGAGATATCATTGGCCAGGGATCTGCTATGGGATCGGCTACATGCCTTCTCTGCTATGGTGCCCACCTTATGAACTTCCTTTTCTCCAAAATTACATTGACCCTCACCCCTTTTGACATTCCTTAAAGTCCTCAATACCTGGTTATGTGACCAGGCCTGGAGCTCCCATGGAACTGGAGACTTGGCTAGATGGTTCCACTGTTGAAGGGGAGACTTCTTATTCACCCTCCATTTTAATCATATTTTGGGTTTTTAAAGATATTATTAGGATTTTTCAAATTTGTAGTCATTGTTTTATATTTTTCATCTATTGCTGTGCACCACCCAAAGTTGCATCAGTGGCTAAATAGATTAGACAGAAAGAGACAGATAGACAGACAGACAGAGAGAGACAAAGACAGAAAGACAATCTTTTGGAGGCATCTGTTGGCCATGGCCAAGGCTTTCCAGCCTCAGACTATTTCCCTATGGCTTAGCGGATCACAGTACTATAGCTGAAATTTTGATATATATATTTTTGGAGTGAAAATGAAAGAATCAAAGATTACATACCTATATTGATATTGATATCCACCCACAAAAAATAGAAAATAAAGCATCAAGTAAGATTTGCAGTGAAGTGTTGCAATGCAGCTTAACTTTTTAAGTAGAGTGCTGATGTTCGCTTCTCCATTTTATTTTGTTTCCTTATATTGGTACTCACAAACAGAAAGATAGGAAACAATATTTCAAAATATAAAGATTCTTTATTGCATGACTAAAAAAAATACCTCATGACTCTTACCTTAAAAAGATAGAACTTGTGGTCCACTTGTCCTAGCTTCTCTTGTAATCGTAGAATTAAATGTACAACCTGGTCTTTCCGTGACTGTGTGATGAGAGGCTCTGCTTTTCTAATATCTTCTACTAAGGCTTCTACATCAGTTCTAAAGTACATTTTAAAACACAGTTTTCATCTTCTGACAAACAAACATTTAATAATTATCAACATCCATCATGCCAGTGTTGGTTTCTCTGGGAATGATGGAAGCTGCAGTAAATAATTTAAAAATTGAAGTCACCTGAAGAATTATATGGTAACACCCAGATAATAATCACAAATTTGAAGTTGAGTAAGACATGCTTATTTAACATATAGAATATTTCAGTAGTTTACAAAATATAAATATAAAAGTTGTTATATGAATTATGTATAGTTGCAATATTTTATAGCATTCACTCAACTGTTTAGCAATCTGATCAGTGAGACATTATTTCTAAATTTAAATAATGTGTCAGACTCCACATATGATAATATGATGGTGGTAGTGAAGAATTCTATAGTGCAGTCTTAAAAATTAGTCTTTAGGATTTAAAAAAAAAATACTGCAGAAATCTCCCTTCCTACCATCTACCATTCTTTCATATAAAATTAAATCCTTCTCGCTGGTTTATACATCTCAGCTATTAAAGCTGTTGCAGTGTTTAAATCTTTCTTAGGACCATAGATAATTATAATATTTTATATGTATGCAGCTTAAGTATATGAACTGCTAAATTATAACAATCACATTTTCAATAATTGCTCTAACCTTTTAAACCCAATTGTTTGGAACACAGTCTTCTCTAATACAATAATTGTCTGTACACTAACAAAGAACAAGACTCATTTAGTTCAACTAAGACTTTTCTAAAAGCTTTACTGAATTAAATCCAAGATTTCGCAGTGAGGTTGTTGAAAACAAATAGTGCTTTATATATATTATTCTCCTACAGATTGAGTTTTAAGCCTCAAAGAGAAGATGTTTCTTGCAGTGGTAGCTCCTAGTACAGGAACTCATTGACAAGAGGTGATTCAGTTCCTTTCATGACAATCTATCTCTAAAGCAGGACTGTCAAACTCGCGGCCTGCAGGCCAGATGCATCACACACTGGCCACGGCCACATCCAATTTAGCGAAGGGAAAAATAGTTGCAATACATCATGTGATGCCATCATAATGAGTTTGACACCCCTGCTCGAGAAGAACATTTTTTTCAGATATGTTTGTGGCTTCATAAACTGGCAACATGTAAATTTAAGAAATGAAATATTGAACTTGTTGGAACTTACTTCTGAGTAAACATGCAGAGGATTGGCATATAGCAACTTTTCCCAGAATAAATACAAAATTTGAGTTTTCTCATTAGTAGCTTTTCTATTTTTGATCAATTCATTTGAAATTACACTAATTGTAAAAACTGTCTTCTTAAATATAGATGAATTTTGAAATCAGTTTTTCAAGTAAGGATTTAATTACTTCCATGGCATAATGTTTTAATTTACACTAAAATGTATTTGATCTTCCTCCAGTGTGTTCATTTGTTTCTTTTCTATCCCTACCATTATAAAATAAAGATAATCTTTGGTATAGCACTTCTCAGGATGTGTCATAGGAATTAAAATTTTTACATTCTATTGATTTTTTTTAATTCAACCACTTTGAAAATACTCTCAAAACTTTTGAAATGTTAAATGTACAATACCACTAAGAACCTATACAGTTAATGAATGGTATGTGTACACAGTGGGTCTCACATATGATGGATAAGTTTCTCACTGAGAAATAAAGTCTGTGTAAATAAAATGGTTCTGCCAGATATCATCTGAATCATGGTAAACCATGAGAATAAAAAATCCTGATAAGGGAAGTAGGGTTTGCTCCACAGTGCTGGATGTTTCAAGCAAAGACTGGACAGTCATTTTCTAGGAATGGTTAATTGGAATTCCTGCAGAACTGTTGGACTCAGTGTCTTAAATAGTCCTTTCCAATTCTGTGATATTATGAGATTAAAGGCACAAAAATATTCATAAAGAAACTTACAGCTATATGCCAAGTATGCCAAAAGAGACAGGATTAGGCATTCATGTCTCTGTCTTAAATAAACAAACCTAGATTAACATTACAAATATGATTTAAAGGTATCATTTTTTGGGTTCACCATATCTGTGGGCATTATTTAAATTGTTTAGTGCCAATATATAGTCCTAGTGTTATAATAAAATGTAATACTCACGCGGTATTGAGATCTAGTAAATCTATGGATTTGGTTTTCAGTTCTCCACTTTGAATATATTCTAAAATAATACCTTTGAAGAAGCATAACAATACAATTATGAATTCCATGTTGAGATAGTTTCTAACCATAAGCACTACAGAAACAGGTCTTTCTTTTGATAAAAACTTACTGTTTTCAAGTAGCATTTCTACTGCTGTTTGTGTCCTACTGCAGGGCATAAACCAGGACCCCAAAACCTGCAACTAGTTGAATATATCCAATAATTGCATAAACTTAGTTTCCTCAAGGTACAATTTCCCTCCCTATTGCCACTTACACTCCATTTCTGAAACATAAGTGAGAAGGATTTTGTAAATGGGTGATTATCAAGAATTATTAAAATTCTACTGTTTTATGCACATACAGTAATAAATAGGCTGGGCAGCAGTTTCAATTCAGTCTTGAAACAATTTTTTGGAGCATGAAGAAGCACAGATATAATACTTATCTAAAATGCTGTAAAGCAATCATAAGCAATTCCAAGAAAGGCATAACTGCTTTAAGGTCTTTGTGGGCAAGTGCTACATCTGTACTTCTCCCTATCTGGAAGCATGTTTTGTAAATAAATACCTCTGGTGTATTATATAGCCCTTCTAGCTGTATTCCTTGCTGACAATATTTAAAGTCTTAGCCTTGACTACAATCCACCTAGTATTGCAGAAATTGTACTTTATCAGAAAAAAGTTCTAAAGTTTAAATACTAGGAAAATGGAGATTTCCTTCAACATATAGCAAATATTATCTTTATGATTATTAGTTTGACTTTTAAAACTATACTACAATATTTGCATGAAACTACATTTACGGCAAGAGCATGGTTCAGATTTGACCTTTGGACTTCCCAACATAAAATTTATATTCTCAATCAATTAAAATGGCACTGTTTGAAATATTTGTTAGTACATATGAAATATTTAAATGGCTATAAATTATCTACCATTTAACGCATCATAAAACTTTTAAAAATAAATTTAACGGATAAATAAATAAATTTGCATTCTGCTGATCCAGCAGGAACCAGGCTGGCTAATCCCTAAGATTCCATTCTTATCCATAAAGCAGAGGACACTAAGAACAACAACAGAAAGGGCAGAATTTACATTTTGGAATTCTATGCCAGAAGAAGTGAGGTTAACAGATTCTCAAGAACCTGTTTATAATTTGACAAATATCTTATCTAGGAAGATACTTGTTTCACACAGAGTGTAAATTGTAGTTTATTTCAGCTGCTACTTCAACTATCTTTTCATATTTCCCTTTGGCAGCGTTTCTTTTTTCTTTTTTGTAGTAATGTAAGCTGCCCTAACTACTGCGTAAGTCCTAATATAGCAAAATAATAGTTTTCATTAAAATAAATAATGTATAATTTTTCCCTGTTGTGAGTCCACAATTCCCACAAACTGATATTTAATTTCCAGAGCAGGTAGTATCAAACAAATACTTTGAAATGGGCGAGAATTGCTCTTCCCACTAATTATTATTTAAGATGTAGGGAAAAGGCCTACTTTAGTTTTCAGGATGTTGATGCTGATGATTGGCTGTGTCTGCAACTCCCTGCACAGCTCCCTACCTTGCTTGTTTTTGCACCTAAACAAAACTGCGACTAAGAGTACGTCCCACCGAAAACTAAATAGTTAATAACTTCAACTGCACAATAAAGTCAGCTGCAGTGAAACTTTGCCCTCCATTCGCTCCTTGCCTTTTCTCTGGGTCTTTCCTCCTGCACTTCCACCATCCCTGCCTCGCCGTTCCGCCTTCGCTTTCCACGTTACCCCCTTCCCTCCTGCCGGTCTCCCCACAGCCTCCGTTTGCCCGCACCCACAAGGCTTTGCCGCTTTCCCCATCATCGCCGCCCTTCCCCGCAGGGTTTTCTTCCCACAGGAGTTTGCCTCCGCAACTGACTCTCTCCCTCCCAATTCTGCCGCTGAACCTTTCCGCACCCGGCGGGTAATATCGGAGCAAGAACCGCTTCAGCTTCATCTCGTCCCCGGCCGCCGAAAACTTAGAGCCGGAGTCGTTGTCATAGAAACCAGACAAACCGACGCTCAACTGCACTGCGCAGGCGTAGTTGGGTACGAACAGAAAAGGAGGGGCTTGGTATTCGCCCTTGTTACTATGACAGCGGGAGGCGTGGCATAAAATCGTCAGTTCTTCCGCGATGTCGTAGTGAGCTTTCGGATTTTAAGAAGGAAGTTCAGAAAGTAAGAAGAGGGGAAGTGATATGTTTGGAAATGCAAATACTGACTTAAGATGTCAAATCGAGTCTTCTCCTGCCCTTCAGACGCGCTAGACTGCTACTTCGTTCTCCCATCTCCGGAAATGGTGATAAAGACAGGGATAATTCCTGAAAGTAATTGAATGCTGTGTGATTTTACACGTTTTCTCAGCAAGCATCCGATCAAATTCAATGGGGCTTCCTCACAACTAAACGTGTCCAGGAGTGGGACTGCCTGGCACAAACATGATTTGATTGGATGGTGTTTAATTATCCAATTTTTTAAAATTGCAGACAACTCAAAGCAAGTAGACATTTATTACACTGAAAAGCCCGTGTTTCTTACATGGTATTCTCTATTCCCTGTCTCATTTTATCTTCGCTCCTGTCCCATGTAGAAGTCAGGCATTTAAAATAATGCCTGGCCCCAAATTCACCAAATATTCAGTGGCTGGTTTTTGTTCTTACCTGAACAAAAACTTATTTGGAAGGGAAGAGACTTCGGAGAAGTGGGGAAGAGCGAGGATGATTCCATGTAAGCAGCAGGCAACCATTTGCACAAGCATGTGTGCCTGATATTTGTCTAAGTAGAGTTGCCTGCGTGAAGGTGCTCACCAGTTTTGAACGGGCTGCGGCCTGGAGGTTGGGGAACCCTGTTGTACACATAGTCATGTGTTTGCAACAGGGAAAGAGGAAGGGTTAAAGACATGTTGCTTGTCTAAGTTCTGCACTGTGTTTTGTTTTTTTCATTTTTTTCTATCATAATTACATCTACCTTTATCTCTTATTGCAGTTCTTCACAAACTGGAATGAAACTCCTTCTACTCAAGCATTCCAAAGGATGGAAAATTGGTTAGGATGTAAGCAAAAGTCAAAGATGTGAAACTGTCTACTGGTAATCCTCTGCTAATGATCACTTGGTCAGCGACTCTTTGAAGTTACAACAGTGCAGAACAAGCAATGGTTATGACTAGTCCTTAAAGGTGCATATCCCAGCACTTCCACAGAACAGCTGGCTCACACTTACAGTTGTAGCATCCCATGGTCAAGTGATTGTGCTTTGCGACCTACCCCCATAAGCAAAGACAAATGGGGATACCAGCAAGAAAAGTCACAACTTGCTTCAGTAAGTCTTCCCTATCTGTATACCCTTCCCCAGCACTTCTGCAGTACCTCACTGGCTAACCACATATCCTCACACATCCTCCCTGAGCCTCATTGTGCTCATATCATGCCTCCAGACCACTCGTATATCCCCTACCCAGCAACAGTCACTTCATGTCACATCTCTCCCACCACTCACATATTCTTGCACACTCTTCCCAAGCCTCACTGCATTTGTGCCGCACCTCCCCAGCTGCCCATATATCCTCATGTTCCCCAAGCCCCATCCTGCTCATGGCCTTTTTGTAAATCACCCAGGACTTGCAAATTCTTGCTTAGCTTCCTCACTGATTTTGCTTGTTGAAAATTTAATGAAGTTGTAGGGAAGTACTTGCTAAATGATCCACACTCACTGCTTAACTACTGAAAAGATTGCCTCACTAAACAAGTCATATGGCACTCCTTATATCAATTGCCATCCTAACTAGACTACCTGTAGTGGTGACTCTTTCTAGCCTTTTTGCTTAGCATCAGAGTTGCTAGTCTTAATTAAGGTTGTTTAACAAGAATTGTCGACTACAAGTTGAATTCAGACATCAGTTATGATACAAAGGAAGAAAAGGAAAAGGAAATGTAGGCAGCAGAAATATTTCAAACATCAAAGTCAATGTTAACAAATGATATATTTTCTATAGCCAGTGATTATAATAGGAAAAAAAGTGAATTTCACATAGCTGAAAAAGAAGGCATAAGTTAAAAGCCAATGTTTTAAAAGAAATATTTCTAAATGTTTAAAAAGAAATTGAAGCAAGGCTTCAAATAAGCATCTGAGATATAATAGTAACAGTATGTGTCCACACAATAGCTAAATTTAATAAATATTTTTTCAGAGCCCTACTGTTTACCCTTTGAGGTTAAACTCCTTATATTTCAAAGGCAGGAAATATGACTGAATAGCAAGTTATTTTAAAAGATTTGGTTAAAAAAGATATCTTGGCTGTTTGAATTAATTTGTTTTTTGTTCCATTTATGTTTAAGAATTTTTCTTTCTTGTTGGGGATGACCATTTTGTCTAGAACTGGGATACTCAAAATGATGCCAGTGCTTGTAAGCTGTTCCTTTGGTGCTCACCAGGATCCATCCCTTGCCTAGCATTTTTGTTTTATGACTGGCTTCTGGATTCTGTCAGGATAGCATTTTGTAAACTGGCAAGCCTTATGAATGGGCAAGCCATAATGTTCTCATCATGACCCTAAAATTCCACATGTGGCAAAAAGGTTGCTGCCAGCTTTGGAAGCGATATTAGCACCAGAAGCTTCCACCCTTCCACATTATTGAGCTTGGGAAGTTGGGAAGGGGGATTTCATGGAGCGTGTATGGTTAGACAGAATAGCATTCTTCTTTAAAATCAAGGTCATGTTATTCCTGCACCTGGTGGAGGAATGGTTGAATGGATGTCTCAAGTTGGAAAGGATGCGTGATTGGGGCATTGGGTGGGTTTGTAATTTTTACTTATTGGAGGAAAACTCAGAACTTTCAGATTCGGGTTTTCCCAGATGTGCCAGAATAACAACTCTAATAAAATAGAACTCATTTGAGAAAATGCCTGTCTCAGAGTTTTGCTGTTGGAGTTTGTTTTTCTGGAACCCTGACAGTTGGTGGGCCCTGTTGTAGACCATTCCAAGAAGTAGTTTGATTTAAATTACTTTGCTGATTCAAATAGAGTTTATTCATGTAAAGTATTTAGATTTTATGATTGCTTTCCCTGAGTTTGTTTTGAAGATTGATAGAAGATTTTAGAAAATTGTCCAAACAATTTTCAAAACAAAATAAAAGTCTGAACAAACTGGAACATATTTGATGTTTCATAGTTTTAATTGATTTAATGCCAATGTTTTGTGACTAAATATTTCAAAATACCTTGACTTTCTACAGAGAATACCTCTGCTTTCCCATTCTTGCTCCCACATATCATTAGCATTATAGTGTTGATGAAAGTTGAAGTCTGACTCCTGGAGGACAGCAGTTACATTAGAAAAAATTATTTTAAAATAATTAAACCTAAAGGATAATGGTTGCAAGATTTTTCCCCTCTGAAACAGTGATCTAATTGAAATGAATAGGTCATTTGGTGGTGCATAGATTTAAATCATAAAATATGAAAATCGACCAAAAAATTATAACTTTGTAAAAGAGGGAGGGAGAAAAATCAACTTTTCATTGTGTTTATCATTTGGATAATAGTTTTCAAAACATTTATGGTACATTTAAATGGTGATGTATATTACAAAACTGTAGCTTAGTTTCCTTTCATTAATATACAGCTGGCCCTCAACCTGTGATTGTAATGAGCCCAAAATTACATTAAAAGTCATGCAAGTCATTAAGTGGGTCATCATGTGACCGTGCCCAATTTTACTACCTTTTTTCAGTAGTCATTAACAAAATCATGGTTGTTAAGTGAACATATTGCTCATTAAGTGAACCTATTGTGATGTCCAAAACTTTGTTAATTGTGATCATGTGATCACAGGATACTGCAAACAGTTGTAAACGTGAACCGGCTGCCAAGCACTCAAAATTTGATCACATGATTGCAGGCAGGGACAACTTTCGGAACTTCAAGTCTGGGTCGCAAGTAGCCCTGTGTAGGTCCATTGCAACTTCAAATGGACCTTAACTTCAGAAGTTGAGGACTACCTGTATCAAGCCATTGCAGAATGGCTGGGACCACTGATAGTCTATTGCAATCATATTGACTGATGAAAGAGATTTTTAAAAAAACAGTGAATATACTTCAGAAGATAACAGGAAGACAGTGTTACTCAATCATATGCTCTCAGTGAGGAACAATGGATAGAATCATAGCTTCCAAGTTCTGAACCCAGTGCAGTTTGTGGATTTCTTACAAAGACATCCTATGCATTAATCACAGAAATCGGGTCATTAAAGAAGGGATGAAGTTGAAAAAAGGCAATGTTGTCACGATGCTCATCTGAGCACTGACAGAGCAGGGCTAAGTAGTACAGGTAGTCCTCAACTTACAACCATTTGTTTAGTGACCAAAGTTACCATAGTAGAAAAAGTGAATTGAAAAAAGTGACGTATGATCATCTTTCACACTTACAGCATCGTCTTTGGTTTCTCATTTAATTCAAACTATTCCTAACTCTTCTCCATTAGCTATCAGTTTTCTTCACCAATTGCCAAATGTTTGTTAATTCCAAAAAAATTGAATCTGATTTTTATCAATCTAATTATGTGGTCCAGAACTTAATGCCTTTTTACAGTATCTCCAAACTATAAACAATTTTTTTTTTCTAATTCTTCAAAACCAAGTTGTCAGAGCTTCCAGTTTGGGCTTCTTCGGCGACAGACCGAAATCCACAATTGTGCACGGTTTCGATCTGTGTTCGCCGCTGGAGCGCCCTGATCCTTTGGATTCGGGGCTGAAGCCATCCCAAAGAGGTGGGAAAGAGGTGGGAGACTGTCAACTGAGTTGAGGGAAGTCGCATTACCCCCTTTCCCGAAGGCGGTTGCAGCAGTGGTCAGAAATGGCCAACTCAAAGAGGAACTTGACCGGACAAGATTGAGCAGGAGGGAAGACAAAGGGAGAGAGCTTGACAGACTGGGCTAAGCTGAGATAACATCTATGCAGGGTACCCTGGAACTAAAA